AACCTCTCTGTGATATTGAAAGGCCATCAGGTTCTGCTCTTCATCATTCTGGGCGCAGTTCACATACCTGGGATTGAGGTAGATGAAAGAAAACCACAAGTGCTGAGTTCCTACTACCTGTCATATCCATGTCCAGCTCCTCAGTGATGCTCAAGGCCCTCAGCTCTGATGTCACCCACTCCCCCCAGTGCTCCTGGGGAAGCTTCTGGTCAATGTCTGAGCCTCTGTCACAGGTCATATGTATGCCTGTCACCATGTCCAGCTTACTTGGAGTGCTCATCTTGCTTAGTACCATTTCCAATGCCTGATTCCAGACTTCATTATAAAACCCAGTGACCTCTAGCTTCTTTAAGCTCTAAATCAGGTTCTGTGTCATACCACAGAACTTGGTGCTTGATCTAGGACTCTGCTTCTGGATTAGCTCAAATCATTCAATACTCAGACCAAGCCTATCTTCTCTTGAGAAGGCTTTCTCAAATCTCTCCACACCTAATTTAAGATATTATTCACTTGCTGTTCCATTTTTCACAGAGGTCTCTTTGTCTTAGCAAAATAACACAGAACGATAGTAGTTTATTCATAATCTGTATCCCCTGATGAAAGAGATTCCTGCAGGAATCCATAACCACTGTAACTCTACAGGCTTCAGAACCCTGTTCTAGTTAGAACTGAGGTTGGTATGATTTGCTTCACTCAGTTTTAGGTTATCCAGGCACTGTGCACTTTTGCTTCACTCAGTTTTAGGTTATCCAGGCACTGTGCACTTTTGAAAAATAGAAAAATTATAGTTAAATATTTATGTAATCAATGTTTCCATGTCTGTCTGCAATAAGTCCTCCATAAGGACAATGGGCTATGTGATTTGTCCAAGTAATGAATTCCTTTGTCTAAACTGGAACATATTAAGTGTTTAATTAATGTCTAGTAGATAAATTAAAGTGTAAGCCATGGTCCTCAAGGTTCCCCAGTGCCCAAATTGGAGATTTGTATTTTGAGGACATATGCTATACTTTCACCTCCTTTTTTCTAAATGTCTCTTTATGTGAAATATCAGTGTATGGGGAAAAAAGAGGAACAGAGTACTGAGGGAGACCACTGTGAGAGGTGTGATGGGAAGGAAAGATATATGTGCTTGTGAGGCATGAGAATCCTCTCTGGCCCCCAGAAGCCTATTGACCTTACTGCATCCAGTTGGCCTGAGAAGTATCCTTTCCATCTACATACTCATAGCACTTTCTCCCTTTGGTGATCTACATTTCAGAAAAAGAAGTTAAAGGCTTTTTTCTCTTTCATGTGGATGTAACAGAAGAAATATAAATCTCTTTCAGCCTACATGGGGATTCAACTGCCAATGGTGATCACAGGATACTTTTCTTACTCATAATCTACAGGTCTGAGTTGATTTGTCCACTACGAGCAGGATCCCCACAGGAATAAGCTGGTACCGCTTTGCTCCCACTTACTCTCTAATCCTTAGTGAGGAGCTCCATGTTCATGCAAAGTCTGCTCAGTACACAGAGATAACCATATTATCCCCACCCATGTCCTAATATGTAGAAGGTTGGGGGCCCACCAAGCCACAAGAAGGGCATGGGAAGCCATAACAAAGGAAAGAGGTAAACTTCTCACTAGCCAGGAGTATCCATTGCTGGCTGTGTCTTTATCTTCTGTAATCTGGCTCTCATAAGGGCCAAAGTGCAGGCCTACCGGCAGATCACTTTCCTCATTCCACACTCCAAGCCCAGCCGCAGGGATGCCTGATGGTCTGCTTCTCAACCCAGGGGGCAGAGTGAGGACTGAGCGGTTGGCATGGCCCTTGTCCACTGCACTGTCTTTTACAAATGTAGCGGGCCCGTGCACAGCACAGCTGTCGATGAAAAAGTTCTGACATTTCTCACAATCTGGAGGCAAGGCAACAGGGATTAGTGAAGGTATAGTGCAGGTTGCTGGAAATAAAGAGCTTCTGAAAGAGCTTAGACACTCATATCATTGAGCCTCAATCCTGTACTCCAGGTAATGAAAGAAAATTATTTGGGGATCAATGACCAGATGAAATTATTCCATCAAGACATAACATGTTCCTTGGTGAGGGTCAACTTACAGAGATAATCATCGTCCTGGGGCTCGCTGACCTCTTGGTACACACGGTCCTTTCTTTCACGTAGGTTATACACCTTCATATCCATCCCCTCTCCTTTGATTTCTACATTGGTAAAATGAAGTTTAACAAGGGTTTTGGGGTCTGCCTTTTCAGAAAACATATAATCTTCTCCCATCAAATTACCACTAACAAATAAACTCTGGTATTTTCCTCCATTAACTAAGAGACCAGGACTCCACAATGACTTCCAATGGCCAATTCAATTTCAGTTTCTAGATTTTCTCATTATCAGGTTCAACTTCCAAACCATTACTCATTCGTAAAATATATACTGAGGGCACAATATATGTTAGGCATTGAGTAAATATCTGGACATACAACAACAAGAATTTATGGTTGCTTTTATCACAAATGAATTTATTTGAGAAGTTGCATGTGTCCATTGTTTTAAATTTAACTTAATGCTTTCAAACAATATGCAAGCAATGTATCCTTCTGTTCACTTTACACATTAACATTCAGGAACTCAAAGGGATTGTTAGATTTTCTCTGAGCTCCAGTGCTAACTCTATTCTCACCTTAGTCCAGCTTCAATCCAGGCCTGTGTAAAGTCCACCCCACATACCTAGGCCATACTGACCAGCTTTTCTAGAGGACTTAGTGGAACTGAAATCTCCAAAGTATTTTCTCTTACCCAATTTTGGTCTAAAGTGCTGTCCAGAGTTACTTGCTTCTCCATGAGTGGAAACTGGTTTCTGGGTCAGCTCTGAGCCACTTGTCAGCAAATTTTCTGTTCCTGACAAGTCCTTCAAAGTATATTCATTACTTAATGGCACCCTGGATGTTCCTTTCAATGAGAAAGTTACATATCAAAAATAACATGCATTTATTTAACTTTTAGAACTTATGATATATTTTTATATGCCTGACTTTATTAATAGTTCAACAGTTCTTGAAAATTTCTGGGAAATATGAATATTAGATGGAAAAGGAAAGGTCACTATGGGTAGTAAATCCATAGTTCAGAGCTCTGGAATAAAGAAATAGTTGGCAGAACCCTGGTTGGTATGGCTCAGCTTGTTGAGCATTGCCCGATGTACTAAAGGGTCACTGGTTCAATTCCTGTCAGACCACATGGCTGGTATACAGGTTCCATCTCCAACTGGGGCTCATGAAGGAGGCAACTGATCAACATTTTTCTCACTCACTGATATTTCTTTCTCTCTCTCTCTCTCTCTCTCTCTCTCTCTCTCTCTATCTCTCTCTCTCTCTCTCATATATATATGAAATAGGAGTTTGTTTTCCTGCTGCAGACATGACCCCAGACTCAATAGCAAAAGCCAAAGTGGAACCTTTGGGAACAGCTTCATGGGGGAAAGAAGTACATGCAGCTCAGAACATAGGCAACCAAGTTGTGAGACTCAAGGCAGACCCACCTTTTGAGCTATGGAGTCTCTTACCAAAGTACAGCTGGTACGAAGATATTTGGATTGAACCTCACTGGAAAGTTGGAGGGGAGATGCCTCCCACAAATGAGACATTCTATCTAATAATAGACTAACATGGTAATTAACCATACCTCCACTATGCTTCCCATTGTCTAATCAGAAGAATATGCAAATTAACTGCCAACAAAGATAGCAGCTGGCAGCCATGCAGCTGAAGTGAGCATGAGGCTTGTTTGCTCCAGTGATGGAGGAAGCCAAGGTTCCCCACCTGCCACGGCCTGGCTCTGAACTCAGAAAGCAGCAATGTTTCTTATAGAAGCTAAACAAATCCCAGATACCTGCTTCCAGCCAGCCTCCACTGGGAGCTTGGGTGGCTGGGGGGCCTGGACAGCCAGAAAACACCCATCAGCCCCTCACCTAGGCTGGCCAAATCCTCATGGGGTGAGGGTCCCCACTGGGGGGCTTGGCCAGCCAACAAACAGCCATCAGCCCCTTGCCCAGGCTGGCCAGGCACCCCAGTGGGGAGGTGGTGGTAGGACCCTCTCCCGCCCCCTCGGCTGCGCTAAGAATGTCTGACTGCAGCTTAGGTCTGCTACCCGTTGGCAAGTGGACATCCCCCGAGGGCTGGTGGGCTGCCATAGGGATGTCTGATTGGCATCTTAGGCCCAATCCCCCAGGGAGCAGGCCTAAGCCCGCAAGTGGTCACCCCCGAGGGGTCCCAGACTGTTAGAGGGCACAGGCCGGGCTGAGGGATCCTCCAACCCTGAGTGCACAAATTTTTGTGCACCGGGCCTCTAGTTAACAATAAAATCCCAATTACAATAGGAAAGCCCAAACAGTGCATACAAGGGGCATTCCTAGAGCATCCAGTACAGTTGAAAAAAGAGACTACACCACTGCACCTCTCAAGACACTTTCTACGTAAGGCAGCCTCACTAAGACTTAGGGGCATAGGAGTTCTATCTAATACATAGAAACAAATACAAAGATACAACTAAAATGAGGAGACAGAGACAACCAAAAATGAGAGAAAAGAAGGAATCTCAGAAAAATAATAAATGAGATGGAGGCATACAAGATATCAAACATAGAGTTTTAATAAATGTTTATAAAAATGCTTAAATAACTTAGAGAAAATTACAGCAGCACAAAAAGTGAAATGGAGGCCAGTAACAAGAACCAGACAGAAATGAAAATTGACATATCTGATATGAAGGACAGACTAGGACAGTCCACACGGGACACATTCAAGGGACAGATTAAAGATAGATTGCATGAAGCAGAGGATTGAATTATCGATTTGGAACACAAGGCAAAAGTAAATACACAATCAGAGCAACAAATAGAAATAAGAACTGAAAGGCAGGAACATAGCTTAAGAGAGCCATGGGACAACATTAAATGTAACCACATCTGCATCGCAAGAATACCAGAGGAGCAGCAAATGAGCAAGGAACAGATAACCTATTTAAAGAAATGACAGAAAAATTCCCCAACCTGGTGAAGGAAAATATCATACATGTTCAGGAGGCACAGAGAGTCCCATTCAAGATGAACCCAAAGAGATTCTTACCCAGACACATCATAATCAAAATGGCAAATGTTAAAGACAAAGAAATAATCTTAAAGGCAGAAAGAGAGAAAGGGAAAATTACATACTAAAGAGTTGCCAGAATGTCAACCAACTTTCAGGAGAAACACTTTAGTCCAGAAGGGAGTGATATGAAAACCGAGTGCCTAAATTCAAGACTACTGTATCCAGTGAGACTACCAATTAAAATTGAAGGTGAGGAGAACTGAGATGATGGCATAGGTAAATACCAGTATTTGCCACATCCCACAAGCACATCAAAATTACAACTAAAAAAAAAAAAAAAAAAACATCATCCAGAACCATCTGAAAGCTGGCAGAATAGCAGTCCTACAACTAGCGAAGTAAAGAAGAAAGCACTGTAAGGCTGGAAAGAGGTGCAGAGGGGTGGAATGGGCTGGACAGGCACCACATGTACCACTTTTTTAATGTTGAGGGAGATCTTCACTGCAGAGGCCCCCAGTGAGTAACAAAAGGTACAAGCTGCACACAAGCCCCCCAAGCCAGATTCCCAAAGCTGAGAAAAGATGTCACTGTAACCACAGGCTGTCACACACTGCAGTAACTGTGGATAAGTGACACGGAGGCTGCTGTTCCATCTGTTCCTTTCAAAGGGACAGCTCATGAACTGAACTTACAAGGCCTCACTTCCTCTGAGTTCCAATACCAGGACAAGGCTTTAGGGGATCCAGGAGCAACTGCATTTTCTGGCATCATGGCCGGAACTCAGGGACAGCATTTTCCCAGAGTTGCTCAAAGGGGTCATTGTTCCTATGCTGGGACCTCCCCATCACAGGGCTGACTGATAACTATATCTAAGATCCCATCAACCTGGAACACGTTTTGTTCTGCTCTAGTGATTCCCTGTGATCCTGTCGCATCCAATTTGGCACTCCACTTAACCTGTGTGCAGTGTCTTTTGCATATAATGGCCTGCCCTTCCGCATGCTTCAGACCTTGATAAAATCTCTCAAACAAGGTGAAACTGAGTCAAGGAGCCCAAAACCTGTCAATAAAAGGTCCAAGACCCAGCATTGGCACCAGCCTGCCTTGCTTCACAACTGAGTCTCACCTGGGCACTTCCAAACCCAATACAAATAGGAGGAATCTGAAGATCTCTCTGTAAGCTCCTGCTGGGTGGCTTCAGGCAGTGGCATAATTTTCACCTTCCTGGAGACCCAGGAGACAGTGCACCCAGTGGTCAGCATCAGACTATACCACATTACAACTGGACATATCCACCCTGGACACATTCAAGAGACAGACTAGTGAGCACCAAAGCCCTACTGAATCAAATCCTGCTCCATAAAGGTGTTTTCTGCACAGCAGCTCTCTGAGTATAGTCACAGCCAATTGGCCTAGAGGTCAATTCCTCCCAGTGACATCAATAGCAAGATAGTCTCAACTACAACAAGACTATGCACACAACCCACAAAGTGGACCATTTAGAGTGCCCAATTAAGGTGACTGGGGACGCTGAGCCACTGAGCTCTATTGGACATTATTACACAAGGCTACTATACCAACTCAAGAAGATATAGCAGCTCTACTCAACAGAAACAATCCTGGGGAAGCAGCCAAAATGCGGAGACAAAAAGGTCACAAAGAAAAGAAATGGAAGAAAGAAAATTATGGTATATAGAGTTCAAAACCATAGTTATAAGGTAACTCAAGAATTTCCTTGAGACATCCAAGGGACTTAGTGAGACATTCAAGGATCTCAGTGAGAATGAAAAAAAAAAAAAGGAAAAGGACCAGTCAGAAATTCAAAAATTAAGACTACACTGACTGAAATTAAGAATAATATACAAGGATAAAATATTAGAGTAGAGGGTTTCAAATAGCTAATCAAGACTTTAGGAAAACCAAGATGGCGGCATAGGTTAATGCTGGAGCTTGCTGCCTCGAGCAACCACTTCAAAAGTGAAACTAAAAGGCGGAACGGACATCACCCAGAACCACAGGAACGCTGGCTGAGTGGAAGTCCTACAACTAGGAGGAAAGAGAAATGCATACCGACACTCAGAGGAGGCGCAGTGCTGAAGTGAATACTAAGGTGTGGAGTGCATGCGGAGTGGGCTGGCGGCGGGGGGCGTGGTTGGCATTTGCAATCAGGAGGGAGTTTCAGACTCTGAGGTCCAGAGCCAGGCGAGTCTCTAGGGACCCAGATTCAAAAGGGAGAAGTGGGAATGTCTGGCTTCGGTCTGAACTCGAAGGCAGCTTTCTCTCCGAGGTTTGCATCGGTTGCTGGGACTCAGAGAGGCAGAGCCCCTGGGGACAGGACTGAGAGCCGCCATAACTGCTCTCTCCGGCCCACCCTGTTGATCCCGTACAACCAGCCCCGCCCAAGGCCTGCACAGAGGCATTTGCCAGATAG